GGGGGGGGGGGGGGGGGGAGGAGGACGCGGGCGGCGCCAGGACTCCAGGGTGGAAGGAGCCCTGCCCCGGGGCTGGCTCCCGGGGCTGGGGCAGGTGAGGGTCTGTGTACCGGAGAACACGTGGGTGGTGGCAGGGTGGCCCCCGACCGCAGCCGGACAGGCCCTGTACCACCTCCGTGGGTGTGGCCATAGCTACAGCCTTGATCCCATCCCCACCCGACAAAGTCAAATAAACCAGCTGGCTGACTGCATCCGCGTCTGGCTCTGAGTGACACGATGGGGAGGCCGGGGCTGCACCACTGCTTTATTTCATTTGCGCATATAACAGCGGGGCACGGGACCCGGCTCACACGAACTCGGTGAAGTCATCCACAGAGGAGATGAGGCGCTTCCGCTGGCCCGTCTCGTACGTGGGCATGGGCTCGGCCGGGGCCGGGGCCTTGGCGTGGCCCGGAGGGTGCGTCTGCGTCAGCGGCAGGCTGGGGTTGGAGTAGTGGGCTTCCTCACGGATCTGCAGGGGACGGGGAGCCTTCAGGAAGAGGCGGGGGCAGGGGGGGCACTCGCCCTCCGTGAGCTGGATGCCAGCGCACGCCCCCCTCGCCCCAAGGCACCTGAGGCCCACCTGCCCTACCCGGTGGCGCAGCCGCTTGATGTGACGGAGCCTGGCGATCCACTTGGACGGGTAGATATCCGTGGGGTTGGAGCGGCTATGGTGCACCTGGGAGGCCATCTGGGGTGGGAGACGGGGAGCGCTGAGGCCCTTGCGGCCGGCACCCCTGGGCCCGTCCCACCCCACCCGGGCCGACCCCTCTGCTCACGTTGGCGTGCAGAGCCATCTGACGGGCCACGAAGGGCAGGTTGCGATCAGACACGATCTTGGCCACGCTGGTGTCCACGAGGCCCTCCATGTCTGAGGAGACACAGAGCTCGTGAGGGGCTCAGGGCCGCGAGGGGCTCCCTGCCCGGCCCCAGGGCTCACCCTTCCTGCACTGCAGCGACACCAGGTTGCACTCGTAGTCCAGGGGGGTGATGATCACGTGGACGAAGTTGAACTGGCCCTGTGCAGACAAGGGCAGAGGTCACCCCGGGCCTTGCCCCTTTCTCGCTCGGCTCCGAGAGGCGCTTGCTAACTCCACAAACCTGCCCTTTCGGTCACTAGCCCCGTAGACACGCTTCCGACCGAGCCCGGGGGCAGGGCCGTCCCTCATCTCCTCCCCCGGGCCGCCTTCCCTCCTAAAGCCCGACTCCACATCCAGATCCCACCAACTGAATGCCCCCGAGTTCAGGTCCAGTCACGACCCTGAACAGGCGCATGACCCCCACCTCGCCTGCCTGTGCTACCCGTGACTCCTGCTGCCACCCGGCTGCCAGCTGCCTCCCCGTCGTCCCGAGAGCAGCCCGGACGCCTGCACGGGCGGACCGCTTCCCTGTGCGTCTCTGGGTGTGCACCACACGCACCCACCCCAGCTCCGTGCCACCCCTCGGGCACCGTGGCCCGCGACTGGACTCTCACCAGCGGCCGCGTGTTCGCGTTCAGCGACCCCCTCTGAGGCTTGCTGTTGGGTTTAGAATCTGAACACTTGTGAGCTTCGGACCTGCCCCCCGACCCTGCCTTCCACATGCCTCACACCCCAAGTCTCCTGGGTGGAGCCCGCCTCCCCCCACCGCCACAGCCTCCCCCCCCCCCC